TTTGTTCTAAAAATAGAATTATTGTCCCATATCATGGGGACAACCCCAATACTAGAAATGGCGCGCGCTTACGGTCTCCGTCCCCGATTATAGCTCCTGGTCTTTAATAGGGTATCAATTTTTTGGTCAGGTAATAAAAAGGGTAGGGAAAATCACAGATTTTGGTCTTAAATAAGGCAAGTTTTCGAAAGTGGACCGCTCACTCCCACCCGATTGTTCTGGGAGTTCCCACTGACTATTTAAAACTGATAAAGTGCCTCACGTATGATCTGAACATGCCATTTTTGAAACTTGCTATATCTCTTTGCTGCTTCGTTGATAATACCCCCAAGAGTTGAAGTACGATACTGCAATATGGAAGACCTGTGAAAATCTGAGAGGGATTAAGTAATGTTCGTAAATGATATTTATCAGCTGTAGTAGGACACATCCACCTTTTGCAATCACTATGGTAACGCTGATGGCATCGTCTATTGAAAGGATGCCTTATTTTTACTGTGGTAATTTAGTGTTGAGTATCCTAAATCCAAAACCAAAGTAATCAATCTATACAATTACAAAAAACGCAGGGAACCCAATGAAAGTCGAAGTAAATACACCCCATTTTTTGTCAGAAAGGTCAACCAACCTGATCCGTACCGCGAGTTGTTGGTCTCTGTTTCTGTTAAGTTTTTGTCTTATTGATACATGCTGATTTATATATGCTAAAATAAGCATTTTCTGAAACACCTCCGAAAACAAAACAAAAAACAACACAAAAAAAAAAGACAGGTGTCATATTACACCCCCTATCTCCCCATAACGACAACCTCTCCACAACGGCCACTTGCTTCTGTTCCCAAGGTTTCCGCTATGAAGAGGTTCGACTGTTTTCACTTTCATGTTTAACTGGAAAAGTAGTCTACATGAATTGAAGTTCTCTTTAGTACTGTGGCTGTAGTCTTTACAAAAGGCTCATTTTCAGCTCACAATATGTGTCTCTTGTTTACCTCCCAGATTTTCTCGTGTGGCTCCTTCATATCTGCTTTGTTTGCTGGAATTAGCTTAATCTGGAGCATCGGGTACTGTGTATATGGAGAGAGTGAAAATGAGACACATATTGGAATAGGAGGGGTCTTCTGTGGAATTGGCATACTTACATGCGTTGTTGTGTTTCTCATTGGGATCTGGGTAACCTGTTACCTCTGGTGTAAACTTTGTACATGTTGCGATAGCATTCCACCATTCCAGGTGAGGCTTTCAGTGCTATGTTAACCCTTAGCATTAATAACTACTTATTAACCTAGAGTGAGGTCTCTACGGGAAAATCTCAAACCGAGACCTTGCCGTATTGATCGAGCGATAGCAAGGCCAATACAGCAAGGTCGAGGTTTGAGATTTTCACGCAAAGACCGAACGTTCGAGGTTAATTAGTAGTTTATGTTATGGCTTTTTGCTTGTTTGTTTTTGTTTTGTTGTTTTTTTGCAGGTCCGTAATCGGCCCACGAGCATTAGGAAATGTTATTATATAGCTGTGTCTCACTAGGACTGGGAACTACCGAATTCACGAATTTGATTGGCTGAAATCGATATTGAGCGCTGTCAAGATTGTCCATCTAGACCGGCATCGAGACCGGTCTTATTTTACGGTGAAAAATTGCACACTAAAATACAAAAATATAGCCTATTTTCTTCTATTTTCTTCTCTATAAATTATGGAAGTGCCAAAAAAACTTGATGAGAAAAAAAGTAAAGAGGATGAGCAAACTTTGGCATATTTCAGTTCAGTTCATCGCCGTTCGCAAGCAGAATATCAGCTATTACATACTAGTTACTTTAAACGAATTAAATCTTTCTTGTTTGCCATATAATAGACATCTTACTAACCGAGCTTAGTCGGTCTGTCTGGGATCGAGAATCTTGACATCGGTCGTGTGTACAAAAACTCACTGCGTTCGGTCTGTACTCACGACCGCGGCCAAGATTCTCCAATACAAACCTCCTGCTCGGTTAATAAGAGCTAAATAGTGCCCTAGTCTTAGCCAATCAGAGCATATTGTTCTTGGCGTAAGCAGCCTGGGTTTTAGTCCACGGTGAGGCCATTCCACTGTTATCTGAGGCAAATCATAGATCTTGGCTGTTATGTCGGGGACAGGTGGTTTTCCTTATAAGACTTGCTTGATATCCAAGGGAAGTGAGTAGAAATATTCCTATGGATACTGGGATCAGCTACACCTTCTTGGGACGTTTATGCTTAGTGCAGATTTTTTCCGTTTGTTTCAAAATTATGACAGGGTATTAGCAGGTTTCTCTGCCCCCTTTATACGACCATTTAAGCCCCTATATACGACCATTTAGATCGCGTATAGACGCATTTTAATGGGCCACATATTTGCGTAAATTCGAGCGCAGGGATACGCGAAATAAATGTCCAAATATACGCGTCCTGCAAGGACCCATACATACGCGTGCTAAAATGCGTGTATATGCGGGTCATGCGAATTACGTTGTATAAATATTATGCCAACACAAAAAGTGCCTTTTGACAGAATGGCTGTTCGTGTTTGATAGAATGAAAATTACTACTGTTTCTAGAAGTTTAGTCACTGGAGAGCTGCAGTAACAAACATTAAATAGCAGATAGACCAAGACAAGGCATTTTATCACTGCCGCCATATTGACGATTTCTAGTGAAAGTAATTTTCATCGCTAACATATACGAACAGCCATTCTGTCAAAAGGTATATACGCGCATTCTAGCAGACGTATATATATGGGTTTTTGTAAGACGCGTATATTTGGGCATTTATTTCGCATATGGTTGGTCATTTATTTGTGACCAACCATAAATTGCAGGCTTACTTGATCGCTCGCCAATTACGTGACAAAAAAGTGCTCGAAGAACCAATCAGAAACGAGAATTTTGTCAAAGATGTTGTTATAGTAAGTTTCCTAATTCTGATTACGTCATGATACAGGCGTCTGATGCAGGCGTTGGCATTGGTGCACTCCAAACTGTCTCCCGAAGGGCACAGGACAACCAACCTCACATAGTTCAGCATTCTGATTCTACGGCGTTGGATAATTCAGCTCCTGCGTATGAAGCCGTTGCCTCAGGTTCCCAAACTGTGCAGGTTGACATGCCTCCGTCCTATGAAGAGGCAGTACGCAATGAATGGAGAACGTATGTTTAAGCAGTTTTAAAGTGTCATGGTCTTGTCTACCAGAAGCTATTGTAAGCTGCACAAATTGTGAGTTCTAACGCGAACTCATGCACGGATCGAACTATACGTTCCTCTAAACAAGATCAGAACGCTTACTTGCATCTAGACTGCGAGTAGTCCCTCTTTCGCTTAGTCAGTCGCGCGTGACGCGAAAGAAAACCGCGAGAAAAAAATGGCCGCGCGAAATCCTGGGGGCAAGGAGCTCGCGAAAGGAGGGACTACCGCCTAAGCCCAAGAGTTTGAAATTAGAAGCAAATAAAACATGCTTCTTTACTGTGTTTTTCTCATTTTAATTGTGATTTATTAGCAAGCTATGTCCTCAAACAAACGGGTGTTGGAAAAGAGCTTCTGTACTGATTTGCTGTTTTTTGTTATCAGTAGCCATCATTCAGGCCTCGTCCACACTAAAGCGGAGGAATTTCACACTTAAAACGCATGAAATGTTTTCCGTCCACACTATGCCAGAGAAATTTGAAAACGCAACAACAACCGATCATTTTGGATTTGTGGTTGAGAAAAAATGGCGCAGGGGAAGATCATACTTATCGTAACGTTATCGTTTACGAAAAGCTTCGTTTTTAAGATGTTTTCCGTCCACACTAAAACTCAAAGCCGGCGTTTTCAAATTCCTCCGATTTGAAGACCGTTTTCGAAATGCTCCGTTTTCGTGAACGATTAGTGTGGACGGAATAAACCCCACAAACTCTGTAGTTATTCCCTAGAGCCTCGTGCTGAGGTCTATTGTTTTAGGCTGAATTTCAATAGATCAAAATTGGTCTATTATCAAGGAGAAATTATCGGTTTAAATTTTATACATTTTATTTGCTAGTTCCTGTGATACAACCAATACAGTGTTTTGAAATCTGTCATATCTATTTATGGCGAGGCTACTTGAACAGGTTAAAACCTAATGATTGGTATTTACAAAATCACAAATGTTTTTTTAGCAATTAAAAGTGTTAAAAGGATGACAAAATGTTTCTATTTTATTCCGCGAACGTTTGTTGGTAGGTTGTTTAGTAGGTTGTTTAGTTTAAAAATTCCAACCTTCTCATCAGCCTGTCATCTTGCCTATCTACCTGTCAGTCAGCCTGTCAACCTACCAACATTGTATTAGTGTTCCTACCTACAGACCTACCTACCTGCTTGTACCTACCCACCTACTCCCGCACCTACCTACTTACCTGCATACCTACGTAGCAGCCGACTTATCTAACTGCCTGACTTCCTACTCCACCTGTAATCATACCTGGGGAACATTAATGCGAGAATTGATATCTGTTAACTGTTCTAGCTATACAACAACAACAATCTTCGTTCTTTATTGTGGCGATATTTTCCAAATTTGGAATCTTTGTGTTCTTCCGCTATTATCTTACACATTAATTCAATGGTAAGTTTCTTTCGCCATATTATGGTCGGCGAAAATGGGTCACCTCTAACAAATCTACGCGATAGCCGTAACGTGATAATTCGCAGTTGAGGACGTTCGGACTATGGAAATCCGTAATGCCCCGCAATTCATATCGCAACTTCTCGGCATGTCTTAGGTCAAGCGCGTGCGCTTTTGAGGGCCACTGGTTTTTCAGTTATTACTGTTGTGTGCTATCCTCAATATAAGTAAGAAAGGGCTTGGTACCTGTTGTGCTAATTTCACCTGCAGTTCACCCTCCTCGGCAAATTGGGGACACCATTAACTTACCAAAAAAATTGTCTGTCTCAAAACTTGACCACGTTTGTCTTGTACTTTTACAGCAAGCCTAACCAGCCGGCAGTTGAAAAAGAAATGTTGCATGATTTTCTCTTCAGGAGGCACGATTATTCAGTTGACATTAAATTGCTCGCATTTTGCACGTGTCAGTATATTAAGTAATAAATAAGGGGTAGAAAATGACTTATTTTTATGACCAATTTTCTTCGACCTTGAAAATGGAGACATTTTAGATTTATCCGTTATTTCAGTGCAAATCGAGGCCTATTCCGGCGTAATAAAATTGATTTAAAATCGCTAACCGATGTAGATATAGGTTCATGTTGACGAATAAGCGGAAAAACATAATAATAATAATAATAATAATAATAATGATAATAATAATAATGATAATAATAATAATGATAATAATAATAGTAATAGTAATAGTAGTAGTAGTAATAATAGTAATAGTAATAGTAATAATAATAATAATAATAATAATAATAATAATAATAATAATAATAAAATAGGACGTTAACACAGATTACTACTTTCAACATCGGGTAGTTGTGACGCGTGTTCCAAACAAGATGGCCGCCAATTACCTTTGCCGGAACTCAAGCACAAGAATTAATATGGACAGAAAAAGACAATTTTGTGCTACTAAACGGCCGATTACGAATGGCAGTTGCCACTCAATGAGTCTAGAATTTTCAAATCATTATACAGCTCGGTGAATCCGCAAGGCACTGAGGTAAGATTAGGTTAAATTATGGGGCCAGATGGGGTCCAAAAAAGGGTCCAGATGGGGTCCAGCAGGGGGTCAGAAGGAGGGGTCCATTTTTTGTACTACCATTACTACCACTACAACTACTACTACTGGTTAATACAACTATTTAGCTTATATACCTAATATTTACATTCATGTTTTGCGCAGGACATTCTTAAAGTCTCTTACAGATAATTTTTTTGTTGTTGGCGACAGGTCATTTCAGTCAGCTACAACACTGTTAAAGGATCTAAGAAGTCCCCAGTTGGTAACAGATTTTGTAGTT